TGTTTGACTGCCTGCGATGGCAGCAAAGCAAACGTTCAAACCCCTTTTTGAATTCATCATTCATTCCAGCGTATAAGAAGGGATTGACAACACTATTGATGTAAACCAGCATACCCGTGAAAGTTARTATTGTACTTAAGTTAGAGTAACTGTTTCCGTCACCAAATTCAATCCACATCCAAACCACTTGATTGGGTAACAGACTAAAAGCATAGAATAACACAACTGTTACCAACATTTTGACAATCCGAGTGTTTCGTTCAAGTCTTTTTGCCTCTCTGTGTGGGTTTGTAGATAGATTGGGTGACGCCGTAACGTTGCTATGACCACCACTATTATAATCCTGAAGCAATGCGCATTCCTTACGTGAATGACGTGGCGAAGACGTCACATTCTCGCTGATGTCTTCCTTGGAGATTGGKGTGGCTGTGTTTTTATTGGCCCAGGTGTATTTAGACAAGAGTACCCCGCTGGCTTTCTTATTACTTGCGATACGATCAGCTTGTTGTTTTAATTTCACTGCTACTCTAGTATACGCTATAGCAATAATCACTAATGGTAGTGAGTACGAGAACACAAAAAGGAATGCAGTATACATTTTGCGGTATAGATCTTTTTGCCAGAATTCGGAGCATTGTTCGTTCTTTAACTTGAGTACTGTCATGTARGGCAGAACAATGAACAGTGAGAACAACCACGTGATTAATACAACTAAAACGGTTTGTTTTGGAGTGAGTTTGGGTTTCCATGGATGCACCACAGCTCGATATCTATCGGCAAAGAAAAATATAATTATCAGTCTTTTTTTTCACATAATATTCATAGAATTGTTTTATTAAACAATTTACGATTCTGTTCAAATGACAGTGTGATYAAGGACTTATTCAATATAATGCAATTTAGAGGACATAATCAGCAATAATGCTATTTTAATAATGTTATTTTAATAATGCTATTTTAAAAGATCATAATCAGTAGTGCTATTGTTATATATCTTATATATTGTAATATATCACTTAGCATATAGCCTTTTCGCGGTTGAAACCAAAAAGGGCAACATGCTTGCCGGAGCCCTCAAATGAAAATGRGTGCCAAATTATATCAAAATTATGACTTTTTCACCAACAAAAATTATTTTCCTGACAATGCAAAGGGATAAACAAGCTCAGAAATGACAACATTTTGGGTTAGTGCCCGATTTTACTTTATACTTTAATTGAATATTAGTATAGTTAAATCCAGGGTATTATGCTGTGATTACAACTGGACTCTATGTACTAATAGTACCCATACAGAGCGGGCACTATTGCGTCACGTGGTCTACTCTACACCATTGAGAGCGGAGGAAAATTTATTGTTTAATTTATAAATAGTGAATAGTGTAATTGAGACATAATCAATAGTGGGATCCTTCACACTTGAAACTAAAACTAGTCCCCCTCAAGTGCCATTAAGGATATAGTCAATAAGCGAATTGCAGGGTATACATATCTTCATATGTACAAAAGCGGATTTAACATACCTATCGTAGCTGATTGCTGCAAGTGTTGCCGCTGAGCAAGTAGTCACTAGTGTCATTGAAGGCCATATTATCTTACAYAAACCTGGCCCAAGAATCCAGTTCTCACCATRCACTCTTATAATGACATCAAAAGGAATGCATACTAACGCTACTGTAATATCTGCTACAGCCAGATTGACAATCAAATAATTCCTAGTGCTACGCATGCTTGGTGTCTTTARAATCACCAGACATACCAGAATGTTGCCAACAACACCCACAATAAAGATGATTGTGAACAACACGTACTCTAGGATCATCAATGGACTCAGGCTCGCGTCGGTACTTGTTCCATTCAATGTTCCATTTTCCATGACAACTTTATGTTACGTCGAAAAAGTAAAATATTCGAAGCGATCCTAAAACATACAATAATKTAAATAGTTTATATATACTTTTTATTATTCAGCGTTATTAGAGTTCTAGAGTTATCAATCATGATGTAGATACTACGTGATTTGACTGATCAATTGAATTTTGAATAGTGTACACAGTTTTCCAGCCAGCTATCAATATATTACGGTTTTGGGTTAATATTTTTAATATGCAAATAACTAAGCGCACGAATGGATGACAAATTGTAGAAACCGCGGTAAAYATTTCACCGTAAAGTGAAGCTTGCTGAAGATGGCCGATGTGTAGAAATGTCCTAGTACACTCGTACATTATACTCAGTTATACGACTTATCTATAATCTTATGGAATATGATTATGCTAAGATTTCCAAAAACAGCCAAACCAAACATTATTTGCTTATACTCTATCCAATGCACCRAATTATGCRGCGTTATACGTATAATGATGTGAGCTTTTAGTGTTATAGTTCGGATTGGATMCGGAGTYRTTGCTGGTTCGTTTAYTSCTCCATCGGTTTCGATATCGTTCTTTGTACCGTCAATGCTGTTCCTGGCTGTGTTGGCGCCCGGTGTCGTTTTCGTTGTTGTCATTAGTAAGCAAGTTATTGATTCAACTTAACCCTTACATTTTATAGACGACCGCAAGTCCGCAATATATAAAGACCATAATTCAAGTAAGAAAAACGTGTATTCATTTTTTTATGAATACTGATAAGAATTTTCATTAAGTATATTACTAATTTCGGTTTGTTTTGCGGTATGTTTTGTTTTAGTTTTTAATGCGGTCTCTTTATTTTTCTGCCGTCATAAAAAATCACTTTTAAGTCGGCTACTTTACAGAAAAATAAAGTAACTCAAGGGAGTTGAGGAATATTTGTAACATACACTCATTAAAATTTGATTAACTTTAAACTTGTGTTCGATGCTAAAAGTATTGACATTTTGAACAAAAGTCAGTTTGTTCGTGGTACACAATGTAATCACACTAAGCGAACATACCTTTTTGTGTTCAGCAGTTGCAATCCACGATTTCTCACAGACCTCTATGTTTTCTTTCAGGTCTTCCCGTTTTATTTACTTTCTGTCAAAACGAAATTCSAAATACAGAAATGTTAATATAAATAAAAAGAAGCACCAGTCGTTGGCAGCTGACTCTTGTTTAACATATTCATTTGAAGTTTTACTGTCCAAGCCAGCGCTTTAGGCGTTTAATGATATTGAAAATCTAATTTGGAGATTTCACGGAAAAAATGAATGAGTTGAAAACAAATGCAAACAGACTAGTTATAGCACGATGGGTATCAAAACACACARCTATTTCAGATCACGCTGGAGAGATCAAAAATGTTGATTGTAATATGATCAGTCTATTTTCCCTTTTTAAAAAAGTAAATTAAACTTGCAGAATGCTTAGTTGATGAATTAGTACTTGTATTTTTGATTTTTTTTAAGAAAACACTGCGAAATAGAACGGTTGGTTTGTTCATTTAGTGCTTTTGTGAAACAATGATAAGCTACTCATCCCGTAAGGGTTATTTAAGGGACCTTTTATATGGAAGGAGTTGTTTTCAAAGATATGAGTTACTATGACAACACGTAAATTCATTTATGTGATTTCTTTGAAATAGCACGAACGGTAACGAGACAAACGGATGTATACATGTCTTTTTAATGTGGAACTTACCTAACTTAATCACCATGTTTTTTCCCAAAACAGTAACTTTAAATACCAAGCTCAATTCTAACATTACTGTATTTTAAAAAAACTAGGATTTCCATGTAGGCTATGGACATATTGCATTTATATCGAAGGAGTTTTCGTAAATGAGAGGCCAGTAAAGCAGATCACTTAAAAACCCCTTATAAATGTGAGTCGAGATTATTAAATTAATGATAAGAACTGTTTCCATTGGCTTACTACTTACGGTCAGCACGACGTCATAAAAGTCAGCCTTTCGCATGCAATTACGACTTTTCTGAGGATAACTGGCACTTCTGGTAAAATTAACATTTTGCATACAAAATATAGAACAAATTTCAAAATTTGCCAATTTTTATACAAAKGCTKATTAGGAAACTTCAGAGACATTTGTTGGAATATACCAAAGTGAAAAAAGCTTTCAGGCAAAAAGACTAAATTAATTGCCAAAACAGTTTATAATTAAGCAAAATGTCAACGAAAGCCCGTTGTCTTGAATGTAAAACTRCAAAAGTCAGCTTATCCATCTAATTATCAGTGTCATGAAAGAGAAATAAATTACAAATTGATTAAAGTTAAAAACATTCATTTAACTTTAGCGATTGTACTTGTAATGTCGTTAAAAACATCCTTTGTGTGATCTAATCTGATCTATGAACGATTCAGTTTTCTTTATAGTGTTATGCCTGGAGAGCCGTTGTGTCACTAGTTATTTCTTGCCAACTATTCAGAGATAAAGGTTAAAAAATAAGGCTTAATAACTTGCAGTTATGTCTGAACAAGTAGGATATAAGATATTTATGATGTACCTTGGAATACACATTGTGCCCTAGCCGCCATGTTGGATGAATTGAAGTCGAAACAAAACATCCATGAAATTTCTCTGMCATGTCTTACATATTCATCTTTTTTTGTTTATTCATAACATTGCCGGAGATAGACAGGAAACATAACAACAGAAATCTGCTTTTTGTCCTTCTAAAGAACAACAATATTGATATAAACGTGTATGTAAACAGTTTACCGAGCGATCAAGGTATTGTTGGATCCTCTTAGAAAAATCAAAGCCCATAGGATCAAACCAAATCTACTTACTTCATCRCTTATATTCGCTTCTAGTACAAATCCCTTGAGCAAACACATCCCTTGGCCTGTTTGTRTGGATCTACGCAGAGTTTTGGTGGCTTTAATAAAGACAGCTGAAAGAGTTGTTATTCAACTATAATTTGTCAGTATTTTTTATTCATCGCAGATTTGAACCGTCAAGAGGTCTACACTTGTCTTTCGGAAATATGATTTATTGAAAATAACGCTTTTGTGAAATAGATATGTGCTGTTTAGGCGCGATTTATCGTTTGACAAAACAYATCTTTATGAACTCGTTAATATTCATAAATAATATTATTTATTATAATGCGTGATGATATATATGTTATATATCTGAATTATAGCTAAACTGGTTTCAGAGGATTTCTCCTATTTTCTCTTCGCCTTTTTTTTATATTAAAAGAAAAAAACAAAATTAAGAAAAATAAGATTTACATCTTGAACAGAAGAGAAAATCATTGGAACCAGAGTAGCTAAAGTCGTAGATACATTGTAATAATAATTGTGATGCAATATTGATCACCARTTATAGTTCGTATGATTATTGCGAGAGAATGCTGTGTGAACTGTTAAATATTCAAGCATAGAAGACTTGATTGTCGTGTGTTTATCGGTGAAATAAATCACCGCCGCGGGGATGTCTGGAGAACACGAAGATCTGAAAAAGATTATGGCCACAGCGAGTTTTTTAAAAGTTATGAATAACGTCCTTTTYTTCGTTTTCTTTGATTTTTTTATCTTTTTTATCTTTTTTTTCTAAATACTAAAAGTCTRCTTATCATAATTATAGACTATTATCACCAGCCAATCAAATCATTCAACAGTGAAGAAAATTGCTGSATGAGTAAATTTATTTCCTTGCAAGAGAACCTATAAGTGAGGCCTTTACTCAGGGTTTATGAATAATCAAGCATGACAATCACGGGCGCAAATCTGTTTTGTTTTTCTGCTGCCTATTCTTTTTTCACGCTGTTTTGATGCTAAAATTTGTGTTCTTTGTTTCAAAGGAAAAAAGAAAGAAAATACATAAGTGAACTGAATGTGTCCACCATCTTGAATTCTATTGACCAATAACAAAACGAGCAGGGGRCTGGCACTGATTTTTGTTTAAAGTGATACAATCTACAGAAATCTGTTGTCGGTCGATAAACCACATATAAGTTAGCCAAAGTTTAAAGTTCGAGTGAGTTTTAGTCATAAGAAATGGAAATATAATTTTTTTTTTAATTTCTAAAATTGCAAAGAATGTATGTTTGGCTGGACGCTTTTGCTGGACAGCATACATTTCTTTGTAATTTTGGCATGGTTTGAATGTCCGTAACTTTATTGCTATAAGTTCAAACATCGTGAAACTTATATTTAGTCAGTAAGCCTTTTGTATGGTGCTCTCTATTGGGGTTATTCTTCCTGGAACCATTATTTGATTAGATTTTGAATTTCGGATCCAGTCCCTTTATTATTTTGTTATCGACCAATACTCCAGTTTCGAGATCTTATTTGTGCAGCCTTAACCTCAAAGACATGTAATGTATTCTTTTATTCAGCAAACACTCTGTGTAAAATGAAGACAATRAAAACTTATGCTTGATTGAAGCTAAGCTTTCGCAAAAGAGAATTCGAAACTCGATCGATTCACTAAGAGAACTTATATTTTTGCACTCTCAAAAGCTTTAGAATTTATATTATAGTTTTATTTTGCTAAACTGTTCCGGTTACCTCGACATCGAAATGGGAACGGTATATCTGAATTAGAAAACAAAATAAATATGGCTTTGTGGCACCTGATACAGTTSCGTTCAAATGCACAATAATTGGATTTGGTTTTTGAAATGTTTTTATGTTGTGGGGGCGATCCAGTAAGTGGTTCTTTGACCTATTGTCTCTTGTTGTAGTTTCTTATTGTTATTATTCAATTATCATAAAATACTCGAGTAGTTGTCCGACTGACTCTCTGACAACTGTTTTTCAAGTACTTTATTTTGAATAAAAAAGAGTTAAAAAAAGGAACCTATTCAAACAATCACATGTAAATTGTTAGTTACGTGAGAACTCGTTTTGATGGTTAACTGACACGGATTAAATGGTTCAAATCAGAACATTAATACTTCATTTGAGTAGATTTTCTGATTATTGAAATTCTGAAATGCTTAATAGTAAACGTTAGCACTGATTAAAAAAGGGAAAGTCAATATACGTACACATTGTTTTATTCGAATTCGCGTGCTGTTTATYCATGATTTCAAACAATTTCTAATATTTATACGTAGTTTGCTGAATCAACCATGGATAATKTTAAAACTTTATTCCAAGCTTTCGACCTAAGCGGTCATCTGAAACAACACTGGCCAGTCGATCGACTCGGCTGCTACTTCAGTAGTAGTAACGGAACAAAAATCACAAAAAAGGAAGTCGCTGGAGGCTTGTCAAATTGCCAAGGGAAACAACATATTGTTCAATAGGGACAAAGGTCGAACACTGCCTGGAAACTATTTATGCTGGCTCAATAATTAATTATTATTCTTATCTTTCTTGCATTTCATTTGTAACAGCTCGCGCATTGTCTTTATTGCGCGCGAAAAAAAGTTTCATTTCAGTTTGAATGCGTTTTTGTTTTTGTAACGTCTTTGTGTTCCCTGAAGATGACCGCTTAGGTCGAAAGCTTGGAATAAAAGTTTTAAAAATATCCATGGTTGATTCAGCAAACTACATATAAATATGAAATACAACCAACAAAGATCTTTTAATATGGCTACCATAGTTGAATTATGAAGAAATTATGTGGATATCCAYAGTACAAATTATCGACAAATTATTTTTTCGGATATTTCATACAAAATTTGACAAAACACGCAAAAAGGTTATGCTTTTTCATATTTTACACATATTATGAAGTTAATTTTAAAGCTTGTGGTACCTCAAAGCCGTTACCTTGCATCTCATGGTGTTTAGGCTGAGATTTGCAAATGAATGAGAAACATTACTCTAAAACATGAATGGGTGACATTTACATTGGAAAACATACAAAATAATAAATATTAAAGAGAAACGGATTTGAACTTTGAGTGTTGAAAAGGTCTTTCACGAGTGAGCGAAGCAATAGCATGTTTTTTACCACACTTGCGTGAAATCTCGCGCGCTGGTTGGCTGATTAGAGTATGTCCGAAAGAGGACACCAACACGTCTCGCGGGCGCTCAGTTAAGAATGGTTTTCTCGAATTTTTTACCCTGCGAGCAGAGGAATTTTTCCCCTATCTACGAAAGGAAAAACACCTCTGCCACAGGACGGTTAGTTCTTGTGATGTTGCCGCCTCCAAAATCTTGGAGGTAAACCATGTGATCACTCCACGTGACTAACCCAATCACAGCGTTCTTCTTGACAGATGATTCACAGCATTCTTGTGACCGAATGTTTTTTATTACAGAATCCGTATTTCAAAGCTCTAAAAATTTTAACTGAAAATTGGATTAAGCTGCAACAGGGAATGAATGTTTGTCAAATATTGTTGCCTTACTTACAACATCAAATTTATCCGTCTTGATGATGAAATGGTGCGTGTCAAAAGGTCATATTCGGATATTAATTTTATAAATAACAAACTTAGCATAATCGGGAACTTATCTATTTATCTATAAACAGAGGAGTTTTCAAAGGATATTTTCTATTTTCTAATGAAAAAATTAGGTCAAACACACCATCGTTTAATAGTACTATAGCTGCGATAGTTTTCCGCGAACAAAAAACACGTTATACGATAGACGCGATTTTGACAGAGCGTCAATCAATGTCATAGATAACATCCAATCATATCATCGTTCCATGCGCATGCTCAACAGGAAATTAACCGTCCCTTCGTAGAAGGGGGTGGAAAATTCCTCTGCTCGCAGGGTACGAATTTTTAGACTAAAAATGTGTTCAACTTGACTTTGTGATCATTTTATGACGTCGAGATTATGTTAATAAGATTACATAAAATCGTGCTCAATTTGTTTAATTTTCACTGAGTTCTATAAGCATTTCATGGTTAACTATATGATACTGTAAGTAATATATACAATATGAGCGGGCGATCTGTATGTAATATACAACTCTCTTCATGGGCTATGATTTCTATTGTGTTTTGCCTTATGAATATTAATGAGTTTTATAATAACATATAATATTTGTATTTCAGTAACATTTGTATCGCTCAAATGCGCATTACAACAATAAGAATATAAAATATTTATAAKCATTCAATGCTTAGATAACAGACAATCAGTAGCTGGTGATGAATAGAATGAGCACAACCCATAGAGGGTATTATAAGTTTATCATCCATTCTTACGACAGCTACTAGAAAATGAGCTAAACTCTAGAAAAAAACAGTTGCATTCTGTCTTCGTGAAGGTGTTGAGCATCGTAAAAAAATAGTATGTACTAAAAGGTTATTGTCCTCGAAATTATGAGTTTTAACGTACCTGTAAACTAGGTCTCGATGAATGAAGAGCATGGCTCGCTTTGATTAAACTTTAGAGAATAATCTTTGAATTCACGGTTCGCTAGTCTTATTCAAGTATCATGTTCTTGTTAAGGATTAACAGTTGATGCTCTATTTTTCAACTTAACGCACCTTCAAATGTCATAGATTGGTTATGTTATGCATACAATATTGTAAAGGTTGACCTGACGCTTGGACTGATTAACTAAACCCTTACAAGCCCATCCATCAAATATTCTGTACTTAATGAGTGTTTTTGGTTTAACGACATGTAGAGTTAATTGTAGAGTGTTTTTACTGGTTTTGATTTYCAATGGTGAGGTCTTCTACATCAGGTCATATGTATTTGGTCACACATGTGACATGTGCCCTTTTTTGCCAAAGGTTATACTAAGATATAATCTATTCACTGGAAAACCTACCGAGGTTTTAATGCAAAAGTTCAATATGGTATTGGCCTGATTGCACTTGTCAATAATCAGTGTACACATATCAAGTTGTAACGGTCTCTTTCTCATTATAGAAGCAATACGAAAAAGTTCAAGCTCAGGTTGTGTATATGTATGTCTTATAGCTATTTTCGAGCAAATACAGCAAATTCTTCCTTACGGTCAAATATGCATAATGTACTGATTTTTAATTCGATGGTACATACATCATAAATTGTCAAGTGCTAAGTAACTTACTACTGGCTCASTTTTCCTCRTCCTCATAGTTCAGAATCCCTTGAA